AAATCACTATTTGATTTTCATCTTCCAGTCGATGGCGGTTCTGCCGCTACATCAGCCATTTGAGGCAGTTGCAAGCCACGTGTGAAGTTTGAGGTTTACTTTCTACTTACCAAAGTCATTGGGAACCGTACCAGGAGAATGAAGTGAGATTACACGTAAAAACAATAATTTCAGCGCATTTCAAAAACCACTACATGAAAAAGATTGCATGGTAACCAATTCAGCTAGAGCCAACTGCAACAGTTTTTTGCAATTTCCGGTGTTGTTTTACCGTAAGCTCCTTCATGAAGATGCAAAAATAGAACAGCGAGCACTTACAGCCAAGCTGAGTGGAAAAAAGTAGTCTGATCCCGCTACACAAACCTTCTTCTGAAGGAGAGATCTCGCGTTAAGCTGGGCGAATGAAATCTCCCGATTCAACCCCAACGCAAAACGAAGCTCAGGCAGATTTCTGCGACATCCATATGAAGAACGCTTCAAGGAACAAGGAACAAAAAACCACAAAAAGTTGATCCGAGTTCGAGCGATGCCCTAGCATGCCAGTAGAGACTCTGGTCTAGCGGTCTTGCATACGTCGCCTGAGCTTCCCAGTGTGGTCGGGGAACCCCGGAGCACTCCGAAAATGTGAAAATTTCAGGAAAGGATTAAAATTTTGCAAAACGCATAGACGGTTCAAGGGGTGAAGCTCAGTGTGCGCACCTATGGGTACCCCATTTCTGTCAAAAGCAGATGGGAAATTAACCGAGTTCAAAAAGTTACGAAACGTCGAAGCTTACAGAAATTTTTTTGAAAAGTAGGGGGAGTCGACCATGGGTCGATGTGCAGATCATCAGTATATATGTGCGAAACAGCAGAAATCAAAAAGTCGCAGAATCAGAAGTTATAAAACAAAATTGGAAAATTTGTGACCGCGCTAAAAATAGGAGTGGGCGTGGCACCTTGGTGTCCAGAGCAATCTCATTGATTTACTACCAGTTCTAGAAAGTGTGGTTAATTTGAACTGAAAAGTGGTGGTTTTAGTCTGAAAAATGGTGAATTAGGTTTGGAATGTGATGAATCTAAAGTGCAAATATTAGGTTGTCCGGAAAGTTCTGCACGTTTTGTGTTACTATTTTTGTACATTCATTGCTGATTAAAAACTCATTCTCCCTTGCGTCTCAGTAGTACATCCTGAAGAGAATTCTTTGCGCTATCTGATGGTATAACTGCCGTTTCACCATTGCTTGATGAACCCCTTTTTTTAAGATTTTTCAAGCATGTGAAAAGAGCACTTCGGACGATTTTTTTCTTCGACTATAAATTGGGGCAATCCGCAATCGAAACAGCTCAACAAATTAACCAGGTGTGGCCCAATAGTGCTAGAGAAAGCACTGTGCGGCAATGGCTCAACAAATTTCGTTCTGGAGATTTCAGCCTTGAAGAGGAACCTCTAGAAGTCGACCTAAAGCAATATCTGACGAGGATTTTAAGGGGATTTCGGAGACGGACCCATTCCAAACAGTTCCAGAGATTGGTGAAAAGCTAGGCGTTGCAATCCAGTGTTGCAGATGGTCTGAAACGCATTGGGAAGGTGAAAAAACTCGATAAGTGGGTGCCCACAATTTGAGTGACCGGCAGAAATTGGCACGTCTCGCGGTTTCCTCTTCACTGCTTTTGCGCAACAGAAACGCCCGTTTTTGAACCGAATTGCTACCTGTGATGAAGTGGATCATGTATGATAAAAGGAATGTTCCGGAAGTGATTGATGCTGACGAACCACCGAGGCAATTTCCAAAGCCGAATCCTCACGAAAAAAAGATTCTGGTCACGGCTTGGTGGTCATCGGCTGGTGTGATCCACTATAACTTTTTATCACCAGGCCAAACCATCACAGCAGAACCCTACTGTGAAGAAATCGACGAAATGTACCGAAAATTTTGTCAGCTGCAGCCAACACTTATCAAAAGAAAGGGTCCGATTCTTTTGCATGACAACGCCCGCCCACACGTTTCACAAATCACTATCCATAAATTGAACGAATTGGGGGTTGAAGTTCTACCTCAACCGCCATATTCTTCAGACCTTTCGCCAATCGACTATCACCTTTTCAAACATTTTCAGAACTTTCCTTGCTGGAAAATACTTCATCAATCAGGACCAGGCAAAAAAGCCTTCGTGGATTTCGTGAACTCTCGACCACCCAGTTTTTTTTTCTTTGATGGGATTTCTCGACTGCTGTTACATTGGCAAAAGTGTGCTGATTTGGATTGAATGGTGCTTATTTGGATTGAAATCCGATGAGTGTTAAGAAAGTTATGATCCTTTAAAGTGAAACACTCGAAACGTGCAGAAGTTTCCGGACAACTTAATAGTATGCATTGACTAGCGAACATCCTTTCCTCCTGCTGATCTCGTACATGCCCTACGACCAGCCGAACGAATAAAGGCCAAGTTTGAAGCTCTCTGCTGTTTCTTCACTTTTTACAACGTCCATGAACTAGATCCGTATTTTATAGCTGAGCGGTGCAACTCGAGCCTGTGCCATCGTAACATGTTTCTCCACTAAAGAATGTTCACTGGTCTATCATAAAATGATGAAGCACCGTCTACCTGCAATAAAAAGGAAAACAGCTAAAGCTGAGTCAAAGCGCGCAACTTCCGATATCTATGAATGGAATACTGCTTATCATGCAGTTTCTATCAGTCTTCCTTACTCTGAACCTGGCGCGTTTGACTCTGGTACAACCTGACGTTCGACTACGGTATAGAGAGAAAACAGCTCCGAAGAAACAACGAGCGCCTTAGGCCGCGTTAAAGCTGCTTTCACAGTTTGCGGCAGCGTCCAGCAAAGTCTACCAGCGTTTTCAAGCATCTGGAGGCGTCAGCGACCGGGAGAGTAAAGATATCGGCCTTGCGTCTGCCAGCGTGCACCAGCGTCTCCCAGCGTCAAGTCTACCAGGGTGTGCAGAGATTGTTGGGCCGGTATACGTTAAGGTGACTAGTTAGCCCAGGCAATTAACTGAGGTCATGCAGGCAAGCGTCAGGCGATAGATGGCAAGGCTCCTCCCGCTCTACAGTACCATACACATGCCTTACCGTGCACAGGCCCAACAATATCTCCACACCCAGTCTACCAGTGTCCGGGCGCGCGCCACTTTCAATTAATTGCCTACACTTTCCCGCGTCCGCTGACGCTGCCGGACGCTCGAAACACTAGTGGACACCGGTGGACGCTGCTGCAAAGTATGAACACAACCTAACAATGGAGGTCAGGTCAGGCTAGGCTGGCGGATTTTTGAGCAATTATTTGCTTTCAAAAAGTGGCAGTCAATAAAGGGAACGCCCCAGTCTTTTTTTTTGCTACACACTTCTGTATGCAAAAAGAAAGCCCGAAAAAAAATTCCAGAAAAAAGGGCGATTCAACTTTTTGGGCAGCCAAGGCTTCTCGGACCGTACCTGCGAAAGCGGTGCCCGGAATTTTGTCATGTTTTGATTTGCGGCCGAAGCATGGTTAACGAACACCTCATAAACTATGCATGCTAAACGGTACAGTCATAATTTAGCCCAGTAGGGGCTCAGGTCGTCCTTTCTCAGAAAAATATTTCCATCTTGTTTAGATTTCTAGGGACGCGTAGTGAAAGTGAAGCTCAACTGGGCGCTTCTCGTATGGACCTCTACAAAGGCAAAAGACCGCCACCAAAAATGACTTAAAGTGACTGAACTTCTTTCCTAGTAAGAACCATTGAAAACAAAATGGCGGAGATCGAATAGTTCTAGCGCTAAGCATGTCGTTATTACTTCTCGAAGGCGAAGTTAGGTGCAGAGGATGACAAAGTGAGATGGAGCTTGGGAAGTGATACACAACTAAGTTCTGTTTCCGAAGCTTCGAAGAAACGCAAAGAAACGAAGGTGCTACGAATCTTGAACAAACTGGTAGGCTTTTGAATAAATCACGCCATTGCATGCTCACAATGCACAAAACTGACCTGCAATCAGAGCCAGAGCTATGAATCCGATGTAGAACAGAGATGCCAACCAACGACTCTGGTCGAACATCTTCTTGCACTGACCGACTGGTCCCATCAAAAAACATGTGCCAGTCAGCGAAAGAATGGCACCAATCGACGACATTATACAGAAGCCGCTCAACTTTGACAACAACAGAAGATAACCCGCCTAAAGGAATGATAACGGCATTTGTTTAGCAAATTGTTGCGAGGTAATCAATCAAAACCATTTTAGGAGAGAAAAATCTGCAGTGCTCATAATCATTTTTAGAGGAGCATTTTTAGTAGCTGTAAGGGAGCAACACTTGAAATCAATCGAAAAACGGCTGTACTTTCAAAGGCTCATAAAAAGCAAGAACGCTGTTTAATAGAGTCCAGCTTCTCTCTTCATAAAACCTCGGCATTATTGATATGTTTAAGTTTTAATTTGTTCTGCCAAAGAGGTTGGTAGGTGGAAGACTTTATTAAACGATCCTGTCGAAACGTCAGGCCATTTATAATAAAGTCTTCCACCTACCAACCTCTTTGGCAGAGCAACAACGCTGTTTTATGGAACGTAAACAGCTGCTCCAAACCTCTGAATTTCTGTTCACGGAAGCTTTCCACAGGAAACTTAAAATCCCCCCTCCCCTCCCAAACCAAAAAGAAAGTTCAAGGATATCATATCACTGATCACAGTCTATGGCCCTGAAGATTCGGAAAAAGAAATCCACTGAAAAAATCCGTTTGAACTATTGTATAGAAAGGAATGTTCATATATTCAAAAAACTCACACAAAATGAGCTGATTATAGATAATAGGAAACAGCCAATAAAACATTGTACTCGAGTCTCCCATGTCAGCGAAGAAGATGGTACATTGGGCTCCTAAACAACCTTCAAATATGGTAAACACTACACATAGAAACCGCCAAGAAATGAGAAGTTTTGCGAATTTCAGAAGACTGAAATCAATGGCAGAAAACCTGCTAGGAAGACAGACTCCTCACCTCATGCTAAGCAGACTGCTGTGTCCAGGTGCCTCCATTACGCCAGTAGGGCCATCTTATACACTCGGACTACCCGACGTGCCGTAGACCTACTTTGAACAGGGAAGCACAGCGTAATAGAGACAGTCTCACTTCCAGGACTCAAAAAGTGCTTCCTAAGCACGCCAGGGCTCTGCCACGACATGCCAGCTCCGCCCCCGACCTAGCTCTGCACACCTTTGATTTCGTCTTATCATGGCTATGTAGCGACAGGCTTTCGGTTATTCTTGTACTCGCCATACTGCCGTATGTCTCTTTTCTGCGCTCAATGCCTCACATGTTTAGAGCAAGTAGGGCGTTATTCAGAGCAATTTCCGCGATTTCTGTTCTATTCTGCATTACTGCTACTCACTACTTAGTATATTAACATTTGTAATTGGATTTCCATACCACCTAAGGCATTCAGTCCCAAATAAAGCTGAGATGGTCACCACTAAAGGCAGACATCGCGACGAGCCAACGAAACGATTGTTGGCAGTGAGTGGAAAACAAAAGTTGTATGTGCTAGTTGACTTGTTCGGACAGAAAACCGTCCAGAACGCTCCAAGTTAAGGCCTACTTGCGTCAAACGAGAGACAAAGACTCGATCTGGATATTGGGCGAGAGGCCAGAAAAAGCAGCGAGAGAGTCTGCAAACGAGTAAGACAGCAAATAAGGCATCTATCACTGTGGGCGGAGTCAGTTGAGCAACCTTGAGCTTTACCGCCGCTTTACCTTACCACTTTCTGCCGTGGAACTTATACAGGGTTTTTCGCTGCAGTCCACATCACCTTTCCCTACGAATAGCTTGGGTAATCATAAGTGATCGTGGGCTCTGCCTTCGAGTATAAATAAAAACAGTAGCAGAAAGCTTCGGCCTAAAGGGAGATAACGTGTGGAACAGGAGCGGTTAGCACCCTAGTGGCATGCTTAGGCGAACTGAATTATTAGGTTGTCCCCGAAAGTTCGTGACATTTTTAATTTTTTTTTCGAGTCAGGTTTATTTCCGTCAGAAACAGCTTTAATCGACAATATATATTAGGGTGTCCACAAAGTTCGTTGGCCATTCGTTTTTTGCAGAGCTTATGAAGATAACTCACCAAGTTGAACTTACCGGTCCATGATATAATCTCCATGCATACCCACCACCTTCGCCAACGATCGGGTAGAGAGGCAACTCCATCCTCTCAGAAGCCGGCCAGCCGCGACTCGCCCAAGTCCTCGATCACGTCCTCGAGGTCGCGCTCGTTCTTCAGCTGTTTTCCGTCCAGGAAGTTTCGCATGGACCGGAAGATGTGGTAATCGCATAGACTGATGTCCGGGCTATATGGTGGATGCGTGAACGTCTTGATGCCCAGCCTGTCCAGGACGGCCTGAGTATCTCTCGCTTTGTGGGGGCGCGTTGTCCCAGAGCAACCACGGATTTGCAAGTTTCTGGGACAAGGCGGCAGCTTTCACCTTGACCTCCTGTAATTCTTTAGAGAGGGTCTCTGCCGTCACTGTGGCATTGTTGGGTAGGGTGCTATAGTGGACGACGCCGTGACGAGAGAACCAGAAACCTCGGCATATCTTCGATGCCATAGTTTCCATTGGTGAAGCGAGTCCCCCATTTTGTTGACATCCAGTTCTGTAGAAAGGTCGTGGGTTATCCCAAACTGGCTGCACCGACATCCTGGTCGTGGCCTGACGTCTGGAGATGTCCAGATTGTAGTAGTCCAGCAACTATCACTCATCTTCACTGCTTTATTGTGGAAAGATCAGGAAAGGAAATTTAGAGCTGCCGATTCCCACTTTTTCAGCTCTCAAGCTTCTAAAGTGGGAGGTGAGTTATTCTGAACAATTCTGAATTGTACTGGCTCTGATTTCCTTTATTTTCTACTGTGTATTTATGTCTTTCCTTGTATTTTGCCTTATTTCAGACGTTTATTCAAACGGCTTAAAGCAAAGCAAAGAGCGGTTTGCGTTTGTCAGAAGCTTTTTAGTTCCTTGCTGAGAAAGACAGCAGGGTCATTTTTGAGGTGCTTTTGAAAATCGTATTTTTTACCCAAAAAGTGGTCGCTGAGGGATTAGTTTAGATGGCACCTAGAAAGAGCTAAGTCAGGGCTACACGAAGACTGTGGTGGAATTCCCCAGCTAAGCTTCAGGATCTCGAGCAGTGTCATTTTCCAAATGTGTGACCCTGAGCTGTGGTGGAGTAGGCAAACATTGCTGGGTTGTGGGATCAAATGACGGGGATTTCATCCTCCCTTTGCAATTTACAGAAGGACTCGCTGGTTAACGTTGGGAGGGAGAAACTCCCTGCGGTAAACCCCATGAATGGTTCACCATACGCGCAGAATCACCTTCCCTGTATTGATGGGATTAAAGGACCTGGTTCTGCCCTTCAGATATAGCATTGGTGCTTCCTGGAGTGATTCACCCAGGGACACCTACTCCTTATCCAGTCACAGTCGCTTGTTCAACCAGTCTGTATGGCGGGAGCGGGAGGAAAGTTGTAGACAGTACCCACATGCCCTTCCCCTTGTGTATCGTTCAAAAGATGAAAAAACTTGGACCGGACTTCAGTACTTTCTTGAGGGAGTGAGGACCTTCTATCATTTGTGCTTTTGAACAGTCAAGTGTAAGGACTAGATGGCAGTTGATTCGTACCAATTGGTTTCAATCAAGGAACGCAGTAGGTCCAAATCCAAGGCAGATGGCCTCTCTGGACGAGGTTTTCTCCCAGGTAGAAGTCACTCAAGCGAAAGCGATCGGGCCATTCCAACGCCGTACTGTGGAAGGTAGCATCAGGACCTAACTCAGAGCAAATGCCGCGTTGTGGCTCCAACCACGTTGTGGCTTGGTGGAATTCATATAGCGAAGTGTGCTGGAAAATGATGAATATGATCAACCGTTTTGTATATGACAGTACCGACTGCATGGGACGGTGAAGCAACTGCGAATTTCTTACTTAAAATACTTTCCACAGACCACGTAACTGGACCTCGAAATAGCTGAAGGAAGATCTGATATGAGATTTTAAAATGTCACGAACTTTTGAGACAACCCAATAAATATATGCGCTTTTAATTTGCCACGATTATCTTCGCCTTCGAACATCCTTAACTTCAGCGGTTTGCATGAAAATGGCGTACATGACAAAATGACGTATGTACGTGTCTAGAAAGAGGAGCGCGTGCACAACTTGTGAGAAATTCGAACACATGACCATCCATAGACCAACTCTGGACGAAAGAAAAAGATATCAGAGAACCATACCGTGATATTCTGAGTACTTCTGTAATGGCTGTTGTCGATATCTGCTGGTGAATCGTCGTTCTGCGCATTCCGCATAGTTCCAAACATGAGCAGAAGCTCCTGAAACTACTCAGCAACAATGTTGGAGAAGAGGTAAGTCACCGCAATGCAGAAGAGTGCAGTTTCTTTTAGTCACTAGATTCCGCACACTGAGTTGCGGTTTCGCGAACAGTCATCAGTAATCAGAAATGTTACAAATCTCTTTTTCTGCGAGTTCTGGGCTCCCGCCAGGGTCTTGAGCTATCTATTCTCTATTTAAAGACAGCTCCCGCGATAAAAGTGTCATGGATAGTTGCTTTTCAATTATGAAACAGTAGCTGATAAGTAATTCCCCAAAGAAGAAAAAAGCAAGAAGAGTCTCAAGAACACCATAAAGGAGTTCGCTAGTCACAAATTCCTGCGGTCTGTGTGCAACCCCTGGCTCACAATTTCCTTTATCACATCTCCCAGTAGTGGGTATCATCCAATGCAATGAAAAGAATACGAAAAACAACAAAAAACTCGGAAAAAAACCTTGAAAGGAAAAAACTTTCGAAAACTACGGCGTCTGAATTCAGGGTTACGGTAGCGTGCATCTTTTAGTGTAGTGTGGTGCGTCGAGCTTTTGCACCACGAAAATTGGGTCGCTCGTGATTTTTACGCGTTTTACCTTGCAAGACGGCTGTTGACTGTATGTG